CTGCCTTGAGACGGAGCACAGAAGCTGTGTAGGGGAATTTGAATCCCCTGAAGATAGGGACTGTCACGAAGACCCCTGCGCTTTGTGGTATGACGTAGTGAAGTGACCTTTGTCCCGGTGAACACAGCCTACAGAAGAGAAGACCCTCGCTTGGAGACGAAGGGCCACGAGGGCTTAGATACCCCCCTTGTGTGTACTGGCAGAGATCCAGTTACAACTGCTGCATGAAGTGAGATAGGCTGTTGCCCTGAAGACACTGCTGCTCTGAGAGTAGAAAGGATCTTTTCCTTCTTCCCTCCTGGACTTTTATTTGGAGGGGAGAAGAGATTTGATCCATTGTAAATACTTTTATGTCATGGTAGAGATAGTTAAGATTGTATATAATGTATTGCAATATTTATTTTGTATGGTCATTGTAATATATTCCCTTCCCCCCATTTTGAGTCTCGTGTGGTGTCTGGAAAACCCATCTCACACTGGATTGAGATGAGGGGGGGTGTCTTGGACTAGGGAATTGGATTTTGGAGCTCTCAAACTATGACAGGAGGGGGTTCCTTTACCTCTTCTATCAGGGGCCTGTTTCCATTCCCCCCCATCTACTTGTTTTGCTCCATCTACCTGATGGCAGGAGAGGCAGGGCTTCACCATCTCCTGTTGGACTTCTTTTGGGGTTGACTCCACCAGTCTATTTCCCTTTCACTCTCCCTAATACTTCTTAGCCTCTCCACTTCTTTCTTGAGCTCTGCCACTAAGCACAGCAAATCATTCACCTGCTCGTATCGTATGCAGGCATCTCTCGAACTGTCCTCTGGTACTAACGCCAGACTCAGACCCTCTGTGCAGCCAGTGACCTGAACAACTGCGTCCTTCTTGGGGGATTCTGTCTGGGTTAACACACTCCCTCTGACAGCAGTGGTAATGGCTTCTGCTCCTTTGGAAACCATTGCTGGGTCAAGTTGAGTTGCAGGAAAAAAAACAAAAAAACAAACAAAAAAAAACCCCCGACAGCCACACACCTACCTCATAGGCCACCAGAGAGAGCTGGGAGGGTGGTTGTGCCCTTCCTGCTCACCCTACCTGCGTGAACTGGTACCAAATTGCCGTGCCACACTCTCACTGATGTGCCACACCCCTGTTCGCTTCGCTCTGTGTAGCTTGCACTCCCTGGAGCAGTTTAAATCTCCAGGAAGTGACTTCAGTTCTGCCTCCTGGTCAACTGATTAGACCTTGCAGGGCAACTGGGCTGAACTGGTCATAAATAACATATTTAATTTTAAATAACATTTATAGTTCACTAAATTCAACATTTTAACTCATCTTTTGCCTTTTAATTTTATTTCAAAAGGCACAGGGAAGCACAGATTGTTATTGCTGTTTGGTGAAACAACAGTCAAATTCTTGACCTCTGTGTGTGTTTCTGCCAAATAGTGGCCCTGGAAGATTTTTTGCATTTGAGGCATCCTTGCAAAACACAGAGCCAGTGTCAGAAACTGATGTTACCCTGCTCCACATCACTGATCCATCAGCACTCAAGGAGAGAGGAGCAGTTAGGGCTGAACACCTTAGGCCAAAGTCTTTTGTAGCTGCCACGACCCTTCTTATTTGTACTAGACTGAGAACAGCTTTATGTTAGACTAGAAATAATAAAGTCAGATAAATATCTAGACCAGTCATCTTCAAAGTGTGGTGAAGGTAACAAAACCATATTTTGACCATTAGGTGCTAAAGTAATCCTTTTTGTTTAAGAGGTCAGATAAGACTCTTGCTACCATAACTTAATTTCTTACCCCGGACAAGAAAGAAAAAAAATTTCAAAAAAAATCAGACACTCAGCTGTTAGAGAGTTGTGTGAAGATGACACGTCCTGGGCCAGTCGGCAACACAGTCTGAACCCTGTCTTTGCATTGCTGAGGTCATGCATTTCCTCTCTTCCCACCTCTCAACTATGTCCTCAGCCAGCATGTGTACTCTGGGGCACAGACACCCAGACACAGTGGATGCACAAGGCCTCAAGTGATGATGACTATCTACTGGTCTTTGAGAAACATCAGTACTATAATTGCATAACATGCCTTTGAGGCAATCTCTTCTTTCAAAAATTCTAAGGAACTTACCTAGAATAAATGAGAAACACAGCATGGAAAGAGCTCAAATCTTTAGCCTTTCTTCAACCTTTTAGTTGAAAATCATTGGTCATAAGAGATTTAAACAGTAAAATGCTTATATATTTATTTTTTATATTAGTAACACTTTTAAAATGCTAACAGTAAATTCAGCACTGTTCAGAGCAAAATATTAGGATGAATTATTCCCAGGAAAGATCTCAGTCCAAATCAGGCTGCCCATCTCATTTTTCAGTACCTGCATAAATATGAAGAACTCTCCTATTGTACATTTAAATCCAACATTTGATTAGCATAAAAATTTCCAACCTATGTGTCATATTGTGCTTAAATATGGATAAGAGACTATGCAGACACAGAGTGCATTCAAAAAAAGTCCATCAATTTATTTATAAATATTTGATTTCTGAGACTTTGAAGAGTGGCATGAATAACTAATCCAAGACTTCATGCAAAATACTTTAGAGAATACTTAATCTCTTGACCAAAGGTACAATGCAATCCTAATTTTTTCATTAAGCCTACAAAACTCTCTTGGCTCATGTCACTCTTGGGATTTGCAAGTTTTAGCTATGCTGTCCCTGGAAGGATGCAAAGCTGGTTATTTTGGGGAGGTCCTGTTCTCCAAAACCTGTTCTATGTTTGAAATACAACCTTTGTGGATAAGAATCAGGAACGCTCTAAATGCTGCTCAGCCAGGAGCTATGCAGACCAGATTGCAATTTTCCCTCCAGTGCTGTCATTCTAGCAACATCTGTTCTGATTTAAAAAAGGTGCGGACATATCAAGGATTGGAATTGATGATCTCAGAGGTCCCTTCCAACCCGACTGATTCTCTGATTCTATGATATCCCAAAAACACAAATATTGCAAACAGGAAATTTCTGTGATCTCAACTTCTAGCAGAAGGTGGGTGCTTCCAGGCACAGGGAGGAGCAGAGCTTCCCCTGCATGGTGGAAAGAGTGGATCACACCCAGATGGTGGAAATTTAAGTTCTGATGTGCAATTATTGGCTGTTGAAAATTTTATATTATTTGGAAGTAGACATAAGTATCTAGAATTGTTAGGTCACAAGTTGAACTTTATCTGAACTATATGGCTATGTTGTACAAGGCAAAGACAGATCATATAGATAGATCATAAAGATAGATCACAGACCTGGAGCTAACAATCCAAACATTACAAAATAGAATAGACAAAACTGTAGCTTAAATATTACTTAAAAATTAATAACTAAAGTGGACAGCCCACAGATTGTGGTATATGAACTGCAACAACCATATTACAATGTGGACTACAGAACTGACAGAAACCTCCACCAAAATGGACATAAGAGGATGTTAAGGTAACCATGTGGAAACCTCTTGATAATGAAACAGTGAACCAACAAAAAACAAGAAGACCTCAGACCCTAATATTGCTATTGGTTCTGATTGTCATGTGAGGGATGGGGAGTTTAGATTGTAAGGATGTATTGGGTCTGACTGAGTTGGTGTTCATTTCCCCATAGTAGCTCTCACAGTGCTGTGCTTTGCATTGGTACCTAGAAGGGCGTTGATAACACACCAGTGTTTTGGCTACTGCTGAGCACAGCATCAGGACTGTAACGTGATGAGGGAGCTGGTGGAAGAACTCGCCAAACCGCTCTCCATCATTTACCAACAGTCCTGGCTCACTGGGGAGGTCCCAGATGATTGGAAGTTGGCGAATGTCACACCCATCCACAAAAAGGGCCAGAAGGAGGACCTGGGAAACTATAGGCCTCAGTGCCTGGCAAGGTTATGGAGCAGATCATCCTAAGTGCAATCACACAACACCTACAGGGTGGACAAGGGATCAGACCCAGCCAGTATGGGTTTAGGAAGGGCGGGTCCTGTCTGACCAACCTGATCTCCTTTTATGATCAGGTGATCCACCTGGTGGATGAAGGGAAGGCTGTGGATGTAGTCTACCTGGACTTCAGCAAAACCTTTAACACTCTCCCATAGCATTCTCCTGAAAAAACTGGCAACCCATGGCTTGGACAGGGGCATTCTCTGCTGGGTTGAATGGCTGGGCCCAGAGTGGTGGTGAATGGTGCTGCATCCAGTTGGCAGCCTGTCACTAGTGGTGTCCCCCAAGGATCAGTCTTGGGCCCAGTTCTGTTTAATATCTTTACTGATGATTTAGATGAAGGGATTGAGTCCACTATTAGCAAATTTGAAGATGACACCAAGTTGGGGGGGAGTGTCGATCAGCTGGAAGGCAGGAGGTCTCTGCAGAGGGACCTGGACAGACTGGAGAGTTGGACTGATTCCAACAGGATGAGGTTCAACAAGGCCAAGTACTGGGTCCTGCACTTTGGTCACAACAACCCCCTGCAGGGCTACAGACTGGGGACAGATTGGCTGGAGAGTAACCAGGCAGAAAAGGACCTGGGAGTTTGGATTGACAGGAAGCTGAACATGAGCCAGCAGTGTGCCCAGGTGACCAAGAAGGCCAATGGCATCCTGGCCTGTATCAGGAACAGTGTGGCCAGCAGGACCAGGGAAGTGATTCTTCCCCTGTACTCAGTACTGGCAAGGCCACACCTGGAGTACTGTGTCCAGTTCTGAGCCCCTCAGTTCAGGAAGGATATTGAGGTACTGGAGCAGGTCCAAAGAAGAGCAATGAGGTTGGTGAAGGGACTCAAGAACAAGTCCTATGAGGAGCAACTGAGGGAGCTGGGGTTGTTTAACCTGGAGAAGAGGAGGCTCAGGGGAGACCTCATCACTCTCTACAACTCCCTGACAGGAGGTCGTAGCCAGGTGGGGGTTGGTCTCTTCTCCCAGACAACTATCAATAAGACAAGAGGGCATGGTCTTAAGCTGTGCCAGGGGAGGTTTAGGTTGGATATTAGGAAGAAATTCTTTACAGAGAGAGTAATCAGGCATTGGCATGGACTGCCTAGGGAAGTGGTGGATTCTCTGTCCCTGGAAGTTTTTAAGATGAGACTGGATGTGGCACTTAGTACCATGGTATAGTAACCACGGCGGCGGTGGATCAAGGGTTGGGCTTGATGATCTCAGAGGTCCTTTCCAACCCTGCTGATTCTATGATTCTATGATTCCTTCCTCAATCGAGGGCAAGATCCTGGGAGGGGACACAAGTAGGCCAGTTGACCCAAACTGACCAAAGGGATATTCCATACCATATGACATTAGCTCAGATATAAAAACTAAGACAAGGAGCAGGAAGGGGGGCATTCATTGCCTCCAATGGCTGCCTGCTGAGGAACCATTACATGTGCTGAAGCCCTGCTTCTTGGAAGTGGCCGACCATCACTGCTCATGGGAAGTAGAGAATAAACCATGTTATCTTTCTCTTTGCTTTTGCTTTAAATAAACTGCCTTATCTCAATCCACGAGTTGTTTTCTGTCTTACTCTCTCCCCTGTCCGACTGGGAAGGGGAGTGATAGAGCAGCTGGGTGGGGATCTGGTGTCCAGTCAAGGTCAACCCACCACAAAGGGTATAATTGCTCAGGGATTTCTTTGTTTGGAGTCTCTCTTTTGAGGTACCCAACTTGACCTACCAGTTGTCGTAATTGATCTGTGCCAATAAACTTCTCTAATGGAAAAGAGAACCTAGTGTCAAAAATTTCTTTAACATTGGCAAACCCAGGAAGTTCTCAACTGTAAAAATGACTCAAATGGAGACATACTTCTCCACTTAAAATAGATCTATTTATTGTGGTTCAAAACTGCTTTGTCACTGGAAAAAAATGCACTTTCTTATACAAAAGCCACTCAAATGTATTATGGTTTTATAGAAGGCCTTCAAAAACCAGCAGAAGTAAAACTACCATCAACTCTAACCTACCTCAGGTCTACTGGAGGACATCTTGAAATTGTCTGAATGCGAACCCTTAAGAATATCACCAATAATTCAGTTTTATCTTTGGGGTTTTACCTTTGCTTGTGCTTTGACTTCTTGGATCATAGCAGTAACATCATATTTTAGTATTACTGATGACAAAACAGGTTGCAATTTTTACTAGTCCAGGTTTGAGACAAGCAGCCAATCCAAGCTAAAATGAATAGAAAAATATAAAAGACAATATAATTCATACTAGGGTAAGCAATGAAGGGCCAGATCACTAACAAGCAGAAATTTTGGAAACAGATAAGAAATGGCATACACTGCGAGAATGGGAAGGGGCAGAGAAGACAATTTAAGACTAGCTTTGAAAATCAGTCCCTGTTCTGTTCCCCTGCTCCTTTCCCAATGATTTTAGCCACAGACATTAATAATCTGAGGACTGCTTCTGGCAGGACAACAAGTGTCACATGAAAGGGGGGAGGGGGCGGGATATGCCCGAGCCTTAGAGAGGGGAGATTTTCTCAACCCACAGTGATTTATTTGTCTGTTAGTGACCCAGGGAAAAACGAAACCATACAAGTCTGATCTAGTCTGTCAGGTATTCTGCACGAGAACCCTTCACCAAACAGATTCACAAGATCAGGGTAATTTGATTGCCCTTTTTCGGAGACTGCCCCGTGACAGTGTAAGGGAGACCCATCAGCAGGTCTTCCCATGTGTTATCTCGCTGCCAGCAAACTGTCAGCACCTTATAAAGGACTCACTCCAACAGTTTACAGAATAATACTCTTTATTAATACAAATTGTGACAAGTTAATAAGCTTTGTGGTCATCGGTGATAGGGTCTGTCTGCAAAAACACGTTTAAAACAATCTAATAATACTATAAAGCAAACTCTAAAATAAAACAATCTACTAATATATTATGGAGCAAAACACAAACTCTAGTCCTTAAAGCAGTAATTAGTGAGCATAGCATAAGTTTCTCACCCGACAGGCATCTCTGGACAGGGGAGGGGGGAAGACAAGTTCAGCCCTTCGGCTGATCCAGCAGTTTTGGCAGAAATCTTCCTCCCACTTTTTTCTATTTCCCACTTCCTTTAATACTATTTCTTTAGGTTTAGGTGGAGTTTGAGTGTATTTAGTCATAAGTGCTAAATTGGGTAGTTGTCCTTGGCATCTATTTTTTCTTGATAGACAGATCTGGCACGAGTCAAAGTGTCACCATGTTCCCTTCCTGCAGGGATGTTTGTGGAGGGAGGTTGCAGTGCCTTTACATCACTCCCCTCTCCAGTGCATTTGCCATGCAGGTGCTTATCAGTGTTTGGGCAACCTTTGTGGGGCATCGTGACCATGTTTCATCCAGGAGGCAGCAACTGTGTAACCTTCTGTAATTCTTATTCTCCTTTAACTTTTAACCCTATCCATTACTCCACAACAAGCTTATTTGTCACTGTAAGCTGTGCTGGCAGGCAGCACTGCACAGTCTCCCCTCCAGAGTGGGGAGGAGTCAGTGGTTGCTGTGCCATATCATAGCCAGAAAATGTCTGAAAACAGCTAAAGGGGAAAAGAAAAAGAACCCAGCCCTGACAGTATAAAGTCTTTCATCTCATACTTAAGTGTGACCACCACCAGACAGCAGCGCAGCGGTTCTGAAAGATCAGAAGAGCATGAAGAACAGCACCCTGAATTGTGAGGGGAATGGAGGCCCATAGCAGAGCCTCAGACATCTGGTTCCTTTAAGTATTTTAATCATGGTGGAGTAACACAATAACAGCTCAAGCTGGGTGCCTCGGGGGAGGGACCCCTAAACAAAGGAATCCTGGGGCTTTTATACCCTTACAGTCTGTGCACCCCTTCTTCACTTGCTTCTTCACAGGCCTTGCACATACCTCGTGGTCCCATGGTGGTCTGGGTTCTTGTTCATTGAGTCTTGCAGAATGTCTGGGTGATCTGGCCACCTGTTTGACCAGCCGGTGCCACAGGTCCCCTTGCCCTTTGTTAGGCAAAGGGTCAGTGCCCATCCATGGTTTATTGTCTGTGGCTCCAGCAATTTTCCCCCACCCAGGGCACAATTTGCATCTTGCACACCAAGCTACTGGCCCTAGGCATATTTCTCAACAAGTTATAACTACAGGCCATTTTCTTTCATTTATAATACATTTTAAAGTAAATAAATGTGTAAAGTACCAAATTATTTAGTGGAATGTTCTCCAGACAAATACTAATATCTTCAAGAATCAATATTAATTTGAGGAAGAATATTTTAATTTATATATTGTATAATGTTAATTTATATATATTGTAAAATGACACTTGAATGACAGGCAATTACACATCAAGCAATTTCTATTACATAGTGTATAGTGGAACAAATAGAGCAGGAAGGACAAAGTAATAAACCTAAATCAAGAAATCAAATATCTGTGCACTGCCTCTATGATCAATGCCAACATAACCACAAACATTTGCATTAAAATAGACCACAGCAAGCAGTAAATAACCACCCCACATCTGAGACATTTAAAGCCACGTTAGTAGCCGCTTTCACTTCTCACAAAGAGGATGGTAATTTATTAAACCACCCAAACAAGACATCTTGCAATCATCAGTCATGTTTTCATTAGCAAGGATCCTTTTGAAAGCAAAACAGTGGGCTAGGTGACCCACCAGGTCCTTTCCATCCTTGATATCCAGGAGCTGTGATTCACTGAACTTGACTACTCACCGTATAGATGTTTAAATCCTTTAATGAGCATGTGAATGTGGACTGAAAGACAAGGCTGTGGGTCAAGGTAAGCCCATCACTCCCAGTTCCCCACACCCCTGCACTTGATGGCAGTGACAACACATCAGCTGGTATAACTATGTGTTTTGGACTAGTGCCACCCATTTGTTTGTTGCATTTATTTATTACATTAGCCAGAACTGTTACTGTAACACATGGGTAATACCAGTAGAAAGCTGAGACTAACCAAAATGAAGACACTTTGTTACAACCCCAGTAGCCTCAGCAGGGCCAGACACACCAGGTGAGAATAACAAAACAAGGATCATATATAGTACAACTCACAGACTTAAGGAACAAAATGCAATTCATTACAATTATATTATTGTGACAGAAACAAAACCAGAATTACTCATTCACTACTGCTATTTTCACTCCATCAGCAATCACGTACATCTGAGCTGGTACTGGATGCACTGCCCAGCATGGTACAAGGCAGTGCTAGGGTTCCCTCAACTCTACACAATAGCCACATGGACAAGTGGGTCAAATTCAGAAAAAACCTCTTTTTAACTCTCTCTCTGCATATATTAATCTATGTGCTTATTCCTGTTTACATTATGGGGTGTATGCCTGTCGAGGTTTAGGTATGTGCTGTGGTTGAAGAGCTGTGTCTTCAGGTGAAGGAGCTACAGGAAGAAGTGAAAAGGCTTCATAGTATTCGAGTAAATGAGCAAGAGAGAGACTGATTATTTTCAGAGATGCTACAGTCCCAAGACTCTTGGGAGTCTCAAACCTCCATTGTAGTAGAGAAGCAGGTGGACTCAGAACTCTGCAGGATAATTACTCAAAGGACTGTTACTCAAGAGTCTGTTAAAGATGAATGCTGGAAACTGTTCACTGCATGTACCAGGAGGAAGGTTCCTCCTCAGAATTTGACAGGTAGGACTGGCACCTTCTAGAACAGGTATGAGGCTCTGGAACTAGAAGGCCAGACAACTGATAAGGTGGGTGAAGGTCCTTCTGGGGTAGTGGGACCTCCTAAAACAACACCACCTCTATGCCACATCAAGACCTCCTCTGTTAAGAGGAAAAGAAGGTTAGTTGTAATATGAGACTCCCTTCTAAGGGGAACAGAAGGCCTGATATGCAGACTGGACCCAGCTCACAGGGAAGTCTGCTGTCTCCCAGGGGCTCGGATAAGGGACATTACTAGAAAACTCTCCAGACTAGTAAGGCCCTCTGATTACTATCCCCTATTGGTTGTTTATGATGGAATGGATTACACGAACTCCTGACTTGATGGACAGAAATCAGTTTAT